CAACCAAAAATTTAAAGATCAAATTCATCTGTAAAGTGTCTTTGTACATTTTCTCCGTAAGTATATCATCAGTTTATTTTTTTAAAACTAAAATTGTATTAAGTATTTGAGATTACTACCAAATAACTTATACTGTTTTATTTTATAACATTATTTTTGTTATTGTTAATTATAAATATATAACCTGTTAATGATTATAAACTGATAATACGTCATAGATACTATTTTACTTGAATAGACAATTTTAAATTTAAAAAAATGTATAAATATTAACACATTTAGTACCAAAAATGTATTTAATAAATCTTGAATAAATAATCTTAAATTATAAATTTAATTTTGATAAATTCGCAATTTGTTGAAAAATGTAGTTTTTCATTCCCTCTTTCAATTTTTATTCTTATTGCCTCTGCTTATATGTTGAATAAATATTAAAATGCATAATATAATATATTATTATATAATATTGGGGGTGCAGTGGCCAGATAGATTTAGGTGTTGGTTGCGATGCGCACCGTTGCCGGTTTAAATCCCAGTTATGGGCCGCATTGCTTCTGGGCAGTTCACACTGTCTGGAGAGAGAGGCCGTCCTATTCCACCTAACCCATTAGAAATTTTGCAAAACCACATACGAGTGTACCAATTACATAAGTATTTTTTGTAATCAACATAAAATTAGGTATTTAATGTTTTATTTATTAAGATAATAATATTTATATTTATATAATTATTAATGAATTATTATTTTTTTTGTTTCAGATAATTTTAAATCTTCTATTTGTTTATTATAACTACAATAAAACTGTTTTGAGAGAACTTCCAACTAATTGGTTTTTACCATTATCTTGGTTAGTTCGATGGCCTTCTTCACAAGTTGGTACTATGAGTTTTGTTTTTTGGTATAGTATTACTAATTGTGTTGCTAGAGTGACCACTAATAATATACTATGATTAGAAACAAAAGTTATTTATGTTATTGCTGAGTAATGACTGATCATTGTGTAAATTATTAAGCATGTGATATTACAAAAACGCTTAATTTTGTGGACTATATAGTGACAAAATTGAAGTGTTTAGGATTTGTTTGGTAAATATTGTAATTTGATATCCAGTTTGTTTAACTTGTATATTTCTATTATTGTTCCATTATTTATTTCCATATTTGTTTTCAATTTTTCAACTAAAATCTATTCTTGAATCAAAGAAAAATATATTTTATAGGGTGTTAATACAATTTCTAATGTTGATGTTACAACACTATTTTTTGATTATTGGATAAATAGGTATTATAATTTAAAAGTTTAAACAAACAATTTTTTTTAAATTTATTAAATTGGTTTTCTCTTGTCCTTTAGAATATCATTAAATTCCATTTTTTAAATGGTAAATTTATTATGTTATCACTTAATTTTTTCTACCTTAATCGAACTATCAATAATAATGATAACTTTTAATTATTCCGCTTCAGTTATTGAAAAATTGTGACATAAAGATTCTTTAATTTGTGATATATTGATTATTTGTTCATGATACATTCTAACTTTAGAAAATGGTGATATGCTTTGCAACTTTTAATAGCCTGAAGATAAAAACTAAAATGTTCTGTAATCATTTAAAATTAATTCTCAATCTCTTGAACCTTTATACTCTAATCAGTCTATTGTATCTAAAATCTACTAATCCCCAATTCCCAT